GAATTCGCTGCGATTATCGATCTTTCATAGATCATAACGAATCGCGAACGTTCGCGTTACGCTTGACTTCCGCCGCATTCCCCCGTGGACTTTTCTAAAACTTTCGTTGAAGCCGCGTATCGGTAACGCGGCGACGGGAGTTTTAATGTTCCATCGAAATAAAATATCGACGTGTATTTCGTTATTCACGCTGGGCATCGTTATTCGAGATGAAACATTCAATTTCTCGTCCGTAAAATGATATCCCAGGGCGCTTTCGCTACGGTTTTCGAGGTGGATACACGATCGTTTTCATTTCTATGTTTTCCAGCAATTTCGGGGATGAAAATATTATTATTACGAAACATAATAGCTCCTCAGTCGACTAACGGGCCGAACTCTCTGATATCCCGTTAGCAAATTTTGAACGTTCCCAACTCCTTTCTGCCGTACGATAGACGCTTCGCGTCTCTAAACGGCTGTTCATCCTATAAAAATGTCGTACAATAAAATCCTACACTACCGTCGTCAAGCTCGTTTATCCGTCGTCGTCGAATCACGGTTACATTTGCTTTCCATTTGTCGCATGGAACTTTTCCATCTCGCGCGCAACAACGGAAAGAGTTAATCGCGGCTGGTTATCTGCGTGCTTTCCCTCTTTATCGGAGATCACAGGTGGCGCGCAGAGGTCAGCCGCGACAAAAGCAACGGCGATTTACGCGGGCCGCGTAAATACGCGCCGTGAAAAGGCGAAGGCACGGTGTTGAACAGCTGAACATGGGCGTCGACGTGCGACACTATTGCGACCGCCCATCGATACACCTTGTTGGCCGCACAATAATAATTTATATATGCGATCGGGCCGCTAGGTTGCGCGGTAAGGTTTGCCTTAACGATCGCAGCGTATTGCCGCACGAGAATAATGACTACTCGACCGGCCATTAACTAACCACAATCGAGCTGTTCCACGTCCGATCGCCGGTTCCGCGCATTATGCTAATCCCACCTACCGTGCGGTGTCCCCATATCCCCCCGATTTTCCCCGGGTGTACGTCGTCAAGCTTCTTTCGGTCGCTGGTCGCGCGCTAATTGCACCAGCGGTTTACACGGAAACGGGAATCCGGATCAACGGTCCGCGATCGAGGGATAAAAGGATATTTTGCGACGAAACGAGTCGAAATTTTCCTGGCGGTCGCGTTCATCGAAACGATAGCGCCTCGGGTCATAATTAGTCATTCATCGAGGTTCTCTGTGGCCGTTACACGACACGAACAAATAGATTTATTTCTCGATACCCAACGAAAGGAAGTGGCAAGAATGTTAGACAGCTCTCGGACGAGGGATTCGCCGACACGAATTCGCTGATCAAGGGCCAATTTCGGTCACCGAACGAGAATAGGGTAACAATTCCCGTCCATAAATTATGAGGAGCCGTATCCTCTTATTGGAGCCGAGTCCTTTCCCATTCGAAGTTCGTCGTTCCCGTCGGTTGAGTCCAGCGATCAAGTTTTCTACGATTCGTCGATATTCTTGGAATCGCGTAAAGAGCAACTAAGGATAGTGGTCCCCACCCTCCAGGGTTCCGGTCTCAATTCTCGCGTGTTCGGAGCAATTAGAGGAAGGTGTGACAGATACGAAGAGGTTTCGCCGTGAAACGAGCAGAGAGAGAGAGAGGAAGGTGCAGAGCGTAACACATAGCTGGCCATAAATTATCAGCCGACGCGCGGAATTAATCGGATCCTAGGAACGAACGGCAAGACGGGACCCCGTCGGTGCCTATTCGGTCCCGTAGGATCGGACCGCAGAACGCGCGGGCGCCAATTAAACGAACAAAGACGTCCAAATGGACCGGCGGCGGTCGGCTAGACCGTCATAGAAATATATTTACTTGTGATTGGATGCATTCAGGCACCGGCGGCGAAACCAGCGGTGAAACCGACGGCGAAACCAGCGGCGCGACGCACGCATGGACTGGACACCGAATAACGAACGACCGGCAGATCGCAGGATCGATAATGTCTTCATCCATTTCCATTCACCGGTTCGAGTAACACCCCGCACAGAACGAAATTACTTAATTTGCGCGGGTTCCGCTCGAACCTCCGGCCTGATCGTTATTTAACGCCAGACCGGAATGATCTACAGCGACATCCGATCGTCTTCCCTCTGCCAGCGAACTATCTCTTCGATCAGGATACCACTTCGATCTAGCTACATGATCGATACTACTTTGTTGCGGTGTATCTGTGCTTTATTCCTTTTTGCGGCCTTTTTTTGTCAAGTAAAACACACAGAGTGTCATTTCATCGCTTGGACGACTCGTAACATCCGACATTTCTTTATCCTGACTAGTTCTACGTGAAATTCGTGATCTAATAAGTACTATGTAGGTCAAGACAGATGGAGAACGCGAAATAAACCCCTCGATCGAACCGTACATTGTTTCCGAATGCAAACAATAGCCGGAGACATATTTCCGAGGGAAAAGGAACTCGATCTTTCGGCTCGAGCGCAACAATGGAGCTCAATTAATGTCGCGTAAGAGAAATAAGGTCTACAAAGGGTCGGGTCATTGAGTTTTCCTGATAGAATAGAAACATGGCACACCGAAATAAATCCGGCTTAATTCGACGAAGCGGACGAAAGGAAATTGGTTCATCGCGGAGGGATGTAGTTACAGTGAATATAATACTTTTAGCAGTCAACCGGTTCCTCTTATGAATAGCATACAGTTTACTGGATTTATGTGGCGGGCAATTTATGTATATCCGACCAGTTGCAGGGTGGAGGGGCACGGGGAAGAAAGAAATATCTGGATTACAATAAATTTAGCGCTTAATGAACATCTAAACGCGACAGCGTCCTTACACAACACGCAACGTCCGCTGTAAATCCTGGCTATTAGGAACCCTGTTGCTTTGATGTAGGAAGCTGTCGTTAACCCGGGAACAAGGCGATTTCCATCGATAAATGGTACTGTCTCCCGAGGAGGCGACCAATCGGTAAAGCGACGAACAGTTGATTAATAGTTCCGCGATCGAAGGAACGCGCGTTGCCGTCCTTTGATCGAAAGGCCGAAGGAGATCGTCTTCGGGAATAAAGATCGCCGGCCGAGAGGAGCGTCGAAAAATCGCGTGGATCGTTAACCGAGCCGACGACTGTGTTCGCGGCGTGGTTGAAGCCATCGCGGCAACAAATCACTCCTTATATAGTCGATCGGAGTTTCTGCGCGTAAGATGAAAAGAAACGGCGCAAAAAGGAAGAAGCGATCGCGGAACAGGGAAAGGAAGATCGAGACGGAGACCGGGGACGGCGAGGAACGGCCGGGGAGCAGGGGAGGACGCAAGGGCGAACGGGAAGGGAGATCGAAGCCGTGAGGCCCCATGCGGCGCTGAATCACGCTCGGACCTTTTTCACTTTGAGGTCCTTCGACGGTACCCCTCTTCGAGCCCAGCTTTGTGAGGCTGGCGCCGTGATTTTTCACGGTCGACGTCGGGGAATAGTCGAAACGGCTCCGCCGGCACCGGCAGTCTCGCTCGCTCGACGCGTATTTCAGGCCCTTCGTCCCGCCGCGTCCTTCTTTCCTATTTCAACTTCGCTCCACTCCGCCTCCTCACCTCGAACCGATTATTCCCCGACTATTTTTACACGGCATTTACGGTTTCATCGAGCTCCCACGGAATCCGAGATTCGTTTCTGGGATTCTCGGTATTGCCGACTGGATAAATTATATTCCCGTTGAAACTGGTATCCGTCCGAGGCAGCCTACCAACTACGGGAAATTTCTTTATCCACCGCCTCTCACGGGGAGATAACGACGTCCCTGACTTTCCTCGATCGCTGACCATCGAGAAATATTGCTCGGAGCTTTCTCGGGCAGGCTTTCTCTTCGCGAAACCTATTCCGTTCGAATTTTGTCGGCGATTAACGGGGTGACCGTCGCGTTGGTCAGCGATGATCCGAGTTGCATGAAAGTAATTCCGATACGCGGGATGATTAATGTCGAATGGAGATGTTCAATGGCGTTAGTATTTAGATTATTTGCTGTGAGAGAAGCTTAACCTTCTCCCCCGATGCTTTCGCTGGTCGTTGTGAATTTGCTGCTCGTATCTGCCACGAAGGGATAGAGATCACTGAAAAACGGGCGTGAAAAACTGATTTCAGTGTCCGAAAATATAAATGGCGTTGGTTAATACGCTTGTCAAATTGTCGCTCGTTGGCATCAACGCGATAAAAGGGGAGCGGACGGGGGAAAAAAGGAGATAACGGAAGAACGAGAGAAAGAGTGAACGCGGAACGAGGATCGCATCGAAATCGGACGATGGGTGTTCCGCCAATCAATTGCTACTTGACAGGGAATGGTGAATGCTATCGATGATCGGAAATGATTAATGACGCGGCGTTCCTATAAGCATGGTAATCTGTACGAGGATCGAAACCGATTTACATTGTACCGTTTCTTGTTTCGGAGGTGTTGCGTGCCGGGCCTACCACTGGGTCGCTCTGAACAACCGATTGTCTGATCGCAAAGTGACGATTGAACGATACGCGAGTTCATCGCGAAACGCGTTCGATTTCTCGATTAATCAGCAGAGACTGCAGAGAATAGATCTACCCTAAAATTATCTGCAGAAGTTCTCTGTATACCTTCTAACCTGTTATTCCTCGATCTTCGTGTGGAACGTTCCGACAGTAATGATAAACTTTGATACGAAGGTAACACATTTCAAAGTGCAAGACACGCTTCCTAATGAAACAGAAGTTTCGGTGATATCTTCGTTACTTCTCGTTCGCCAGGCTTCGAGAGGTAGAGGATCGAAACGGTTTGGCGCCCGGAGAGAGGAAACGTGATAGAAGTCGCGCTGATAATTTATAAGTTGCGAGTGAGACGTATATCCGATGTAGCAGAAACGCGAGGGAAAATTCGTGTCGGTTCTAAGATGAGGCCGGTGGTAGTTGCGAAGTGAAGGTAGAACAAAGGGAGTCGTCGGAGTAACACGATAGCGGGTTTCGTGTTTCAGGCGGGCATGCTGCGCGGCGAGCACGGGGAGTTCTGGTTGGAACCAGTCGCCGTGTCCCCGGAAGAAGAACGAGTCAGCTTGGAGGAAAGGCTGGAAGACGCCGGCGCCGAGGGCCGCGCTTCGGCCGGCCTCCACCGGAAACTCCATTCGCTGGCCGGTAGGCCGCATCTCGTGTTCCGCAGGTCCGTCGAGCAGCCGCAGCTCGAGATCGGCGCCGCCGGCCGCACCAGACGCCGACGAAAAAAGAAGAGAAAACTCGAGAGAAACTGTGGCACTCGCGGTGAGAATCCGTCGGCACCATTCTCCTTCCCCCTTTCGCTTCTTCCTCTTCTTCTTCTCATTCTTCTTATTCTTCCCGTTCCTCTCCTTCCTATTATACCCCGGCACCACACCTCCGCTTCCTCTGTTACGAACCCTTCTTTCTCCGCTCTCAATATCATTTCCCTTTTCATTTCACACCTCTTGATCCTTAGTTTTTCTCCCTTCAGTGGAGAATTGTTTCCTCTGGGGGGCACGACGAAAGCCAGCTATTAGCTGCGTTCGTCCGCCCGACTTTCTTCTTCTTATTGTTCTCGCTGGGGGCTCTTAAAATACAGGGTGTCTCAGCAGTCGCGGTACCACCGGGAACGCGTATAGGATTGCATCGACGGTAACCAGTGTGTTCCTCCGGGTCGCGGGACTTTAGATTTGTATTGGGTACTTTCATTTGTTAATCGACCGATGTAGATGTAGCCTCGAGTAAAGGTGCGTAATGCGAGTTAAGTTGTTCGATATATTATCGTGCAATATAGAATGCGGTTGAGTGCAGCCGCCTGGTGAACTCGTTCTCCACGATAAACGGACCGGAGATACCTTTCGAGTCACCTAGCGAGCGGTACATTGGCACCCGTCTAATTCGTTCGCTCGGTTGGTCCCTTCTTCACCCGATTTCTCTCGTTATGTGCATTTATGCGTCTAAGGCCACAGGGTAATTGGATACACGAGCTGCAAAGCGTGGGCGTGTCGACGCCGAACCGTATCTTCTTATCTATGAAATTGCTCCGGTATACGACAAATATTGCCATTCGGCGTTTTTTCCCATCGCTAATTGCGGAGCCGTGTAATTAAAGGCTGCTTTGATACACGGCGAAGGTGGATATAGTGGTCCCTAATTAAACGGTGCCATTTTTCCCCGCTTCTTTGCCGTTACGGTCCCGGTTCCCGGCAAACACGCGTACAACCGCCTATCTTCGTATCGATGCAGTTATTTATGAGCGTAGTGAATTTAACTATTTTAATTGTACGGCTTGATAATGTTACCGTGAGATATTCTAATGGCAAATGATCGCAATGTTTCACGGATTATAGTGAACCCTCTGTCATCTTCGTTAATAATCCCGGCAACTGGTTCTTCGCGTACGGGTTTTCCGCGATTTCGTCGGGACTAGCTCGATTAAGAAATAATTTATGGCTTGTCGTTCAAACAAACGCATGGAGCTGTTCGATCGCGTCGTCGGCATTAACGCGGACGGTTCTCATTCGAATCGTTCTCGCTATTCCTCAAACGCCCCGGGTTGGTAGCCTTCCTACCGTGAAACGTATCAGGAAAGGTTTCAAACTTGGACACTTTGTCCGATGGTAATCACAGTGACCCATATCTCTTACGAATCTAACGCGTATCTTAAATCATTCGCGCGGATTCAACTTCCTGACCGTTTAATAGCTGCAACTGTCTACCGACCGGAATCTTTTTCGCCTGAAGCTATAGAAAATCCATAATACCGACAAATTAGCTTGACTACGGTATTTCTCTGTCAACCGACTACCGGGTGAACAACCTACCGACCGTAAATCAGCTTTAACAAATATTACTGCTATATTTTATCTCCTTTCGTTTACGTTCTTCGAAACGTTCGTCCTGTTTCGAAACGTTCCGCTCGGTCGACCCGACTGAGATTTCACTCGAAAGTCTTTAATGGAACTTTTTATTAGGGTCGCCTGAAACAATTCGTCCATCGGAAGAACGGCTTGTTCCTGCATTCGTAGCGATCAACCGAACAGCGCTTCCGATATGCTTCTCCAACAAATTTAACACTAGAACTACGAATCACTTAAACTGATTCTTCCAAATTCCTTTATAAAACCTACAACCGTGTATTTATTAAGATTTCAATCAGCTTATATTTCAGTGTTGGTATTACTCAATCAGGTTTTTAAACGATTTCTCAGAGAACCATCTGTACCTTTGCTTAATTGTGAAAGAAGAAATCAGGGATGGGTCATTCTAACCCATCTGGTAGTTCTAGTGTTAAAGGAACTCCATAAAGACACCAATTATTCTATAGACATAGCCCTACGACTAAGAAAACTTCATGTTAGTCCAATATGCGCTTCCGATATGCTTCTCCAATAAATTCAAAGGAACTCCGCAAAGAAACCAACAATTCCAGAGACGTAGGAAAATTCGGCACGACTAAGAAAATTTCATGTTAGTCCAATCTCACAATTGTGAATCACCTTAGGAACTGCACAATTGCCTTGGGCATTACAGTATTGCCTTGGCAACTATAGTTGGAAGCTGCAATAAAAGATTGAGATTCGTTCACTTTGGAAACTAGTTTCCAACCGTGCCGAATGTGTTAAGAGATTGCTACGAGCAAAGGAATCTCCGTACAAGAAGCGGCCATCTCGCCGCTGGTAGAAATTTATTTTCTCGTTGAGGCATGGTTACTAATGCCCGAGAAACATTACTCCCATCGCTAGCTTGATCCCATCGGCAGCCGTAATTAATAGCGAGAACGAAGGGAGGGCGAACAGCACTTACGGCGAGAACAGACAGACACCTCCTTTTTCTTCTCCACCTTCGCGGACCATTCCCAACGTGTTCCATCCGACTCCCGGCGTCTTGTTCTTCCTTGAAGCGACGCGTATTACAAGTATTTATGCCGTCTACGCATATAATGTAATTGGACGCGACGCGATACGGAGCGTGGGCGTTCCAACGACGTCTTCGGCTCGTCCTTTTACCGGCGCGAGCATCTTTGACCAGGCCTACCAGGTAAAAATCAAAATTCAATATTTATGAAGTTGTCCGGGTGGCCGCAACCGCCGCCACCTTCCTCGATCGGAACCCGCAAATGATCCGTACCCGTTCTACCACCAATTATCGCGAAATTGGATCCATTAATATATCACCGCGAAGAAAACTTACAACAACCACAGACGCGACACGGAATTGAGCAGTCTCCTACCGTTAAATAATTTTATCGTATATTTGAACTACTCGTTCGAGAACCCCGCCATTTTGGTGAATCGGTATTCTATTTTCTAGTGGAATTTCTATTTTCTCCGGGATAGACATTATCCTTATTGGGGATGTTAATAATTGCTTTTCTTATATATTTTATCTAATGATGGTAAGATTGATAATACAAATGATAATGAGAATGATGTTAACAGTGTCATTGCTGTGGGTCAAGCTACCGATATCGCTAAGCATAACCTTAAAATTATAAGTTTTAAGCTAAAGTAAAAGTTCAGCTCGTCTCTTTCTATTCCCGAAGAATTCATTATCTGAAAGATTAACTGTGAACCGAGTCTGGTAAAAGCAGTTGCAAAGAACATATCGTTAGATAAACTTACTCAGAAAAGCATCCATCCTTCCACGCTCGCAGCCGTTCGAACATCCGCTAATGGAATTAGGCGCCAAAACTCGTCGAAATTCAGAAAAACGTACAGTGGCGCCACTCGACGACGACGCGTATAACCTTCTCCATAAAGGCGAAGTTTTCAAACCGTCAAACTTGGGATATTGAATGCTTTCGTGGAAAGTTGGATGGCATAAAGCTAAAAGTGTTGTAAAAAGACCGAGCATAGGAACGGAGTATACCGAGAAACTAACTTTTCCCTTGACTCCAGTCTCACCGTGCTAGCTTCTCGCAGGAGTCTGTAGAATATCCAAAGTCCTCCCATACACGATAGGAAGTTGAGGAACCGAAGCAAAGAAAATTGTTTCTTTATTCCCGCCACGATTTCCTTCCATTATTTTAATTGTAAATTTAATACGGAACCTTCCGCTAATGAATGCTGCAGGGAAACCGCATGCAGTGATAATAGAGGCGAACATAAACACGTGCAAACCGTGTCCCGACCGAACGCGATTAATTCGACTAATTTAGCCACGAATTTCGAAACTACTGACCCACGCTCACCGGTCTTCCACGTAATTTCCAAGTTGAACCTATTAACCGAGTGACGACCCTGCGTTTCACCGGATTAAACGGTTGCGAGAAGACCGATATAGAAGTAAGATCGACTCGGTTGATAGGTGGCGGCGGTTCGTCGAACGAACCGTGGCCTCGGCTAACGCGGGGGTAATCCAATTCGCTGGTACACCGTAATTAACTACAACGAATATCCATTTCGGTAAACCAGCCGATCTATCGGGATAGGCTCGAATGAAATCTTAATTGCACGCCTACGATCAACCAATCTGCATAACTTAAGGGACCCCGGGCTACGCGTCTTACGTGTCTACCAGGTATACGTCTTTTTCGAGATAGCAGGCTCGCGCGTAACGCTTCGTTCATAGGCGAACCACCGGCAATTTCGAACTCCGAATTACCGAGAAAGATTGATGAGCTCTCGCGAAAATTCAACGATCCCAGCCTGTAGCCACCAGTTTCGCCTATCAAATTCGCGGAGCCGTTTTAACGAATTCTTCGGTAATCAACTTTTTGAGGATGAACATTTTCATATTGACATCGGGCTTTCTCATCTAGAATTGGAAGTTGCAAGCGAACAATTCTTTTATGTTAATATTGGGTTTACGAAACGTGTCTATTCAATGCATTGAATTTCGTAAGGATTGATTGGTAAATCTGGTCTACTGTTAAACTTGTAATTTCTAAAATCTAAATGAGCAGACATCAATTTTTCTAGGATATAGAATAAACTGCGGAACAAATGTCCGTAAAGCTAGTGTTAATTTACCTTTCTATGGAAAGAGATTTTAATATTTTCGAAAATCCACGTCCGCGGAAGGGTAAATCCCATTCGGCGCGTCTGTCACTTCTGGCGGGAACTTTTCCGACCAATTGTAACTGGCGTTACGTAACTTCGCTTTACCGCTTTGAGAACGGTGAATTACCTTTTCCGTAAGCCGACACCTCCGCGAGATCATAGATCACCGCGTATCGCGTTCGCCACATCCGATACCCAAAATCCGACAAGCGATCGATTGCCTCGTCTAGCGCCAATTAATCATCTACCAACCACCAACTGCATCTATACCGTCGAAGATGAAATTCCTTTCGAAAATTGAACTCAGTTACGATACGTGATACGCTCCTATCCTTGATCGGAATTTCAATTGGTCGACCGTAATGGGGTCGATGTCAGCTTGTCATCGAGGGCCATTTCTCCCGCCATGATTCTAGCACATTCACGCTCGAGACTTTCGAACGAAAGTCTCGCCCTTCTAAAAAAGAAAATCCCGACACTTTGTCGGCTTGATCAGGTGTCGCGTGATTGTTCACTATTAAAAGGTGCCCTGTTCATGATGCGGATCAATAATCACCGACCAGAGATTTTAACTGGTCAGCCAATTATCTCTCCAACCTATCTCTCGGCGATCACCACGCGACACATAACACTATCGGCGTGTCACTTGATCCATTGTTGAAACTGACCAAGACCGTAGGGAATCGTTTACATTAATCTTCCAAAACGCTGTTCCCATCCTGCTCTTCTGGAAGTTATTTCTATTTCAAGAGGAAACGTTAAAATAAATGTTTCTACAGCTTGTTTTACGAAAAAGAAAAGACTCGAAGTGCACCGATGCTCATAACAGATGTCCGTCGTATTCCAGCCATGCCAAGCTTGTGACACGCGAGAGATTGGAATAAGCTGAACAACTATTGTGATCGTCGATGTGCTTCGAGTCTCTTGATTTGAAAGACGCGTTGTAGTAGCTTCCGAAGATTCGGTTCCGTGTGTGACCGGACTAATAACGTTTCGCAGAACCGAGACGATTGACGGAAACGCGGCTCGAGTGGCAGACGCAACCGGGTCTCGTTCAGGTTCAAGGACGAGGCCGAAGGAAACACCATCAAACGAAACGATGGCAGCGTTCCAAGAGATCGATCAGCCGACCGCGTCACGTTGAGGCCCTCGTTGTCGCTGACACGACCATGATGGCTTTTCATCAGGACGGCGACGTCGAGACGTATCTGCTGACCATCATGAACATGGTGTCGTCGCTCTACCTAGACCCCACCATCGGGAATTTCATCAACGTCGTCGTCGTCAGAATAATTCTCGTCGAGGAGGACGAGGCGGAAGTACGTGCGGACTCGCGTGATTTGCATAATCCTGCGTCCCCTCTCGAACATGCACGCGAAAAATTTATAGAAAATTGCAGTGTAGTCGCGCCCTTACGACTCGACTCGAGAAAACAATCCTACGCCGGAAAGAGTGTCAGGCTTTATAAAATCCATTTGAAATTTCATCTTCCCATGGATGAAGTTACTCGACCGCGTCAGAAGTAACTCCTCGAAACTTCATCCCTTCCCGATTGGAAGGCTTAATGTCTGCGTCAGTCATATCGGTCCGCGTGCCAGTTTGCCAAACTTTCGACTATCAGTTTCTCCGAAGAAATGTAGATCAAGCCGTTATTAACGTTCAATTTTTCTTGAGCCGTCAACTTGAAGCGCTAATAATTTCTAAGAAAAAAAGAAAGAAAAGAAAAAAACAGATGAAAGTGAACGTAATTGATTCCCAGAATTTGCTAGCCGAGAAACAGCGAGAGATCACGGTAAACTGAACGAAACGCAAAATGGCCACGATGACGTCTCTTTCAGCAAGGGCTGGACATCACGGTGAACGCGGACAGGACGCTGTACAATTTCTGCAAGTGGCAACAGAAGCTGAATCCAACGGACGATTCGCATCCGAATCATCACGACGTCGCGATTTTAGTGACGAGGGAGGACATCTGCTCGAGGGCTAACACTCCATGCAGTACCCTGGGAGTAGCGCACGTAGCCGGTATGTGCCAACCGGACCGCAGTTGCAGCGTCAACGAGGACAATGGAATCACCCTGGCGCACACGATCACGCACGAATTGGGACACAAGTGAGTAAAATCCTCGTCAACCGACGCGACATCAATCGTAACATCCGTGGATAATGTCAAATACCGCGTTACATGTTCTACCATTGTGCTTTCATGATTCGTTGATTTCTTTTGGCCGAAACATTCTCTCAACAATTCGGAAACGGCGAGTCTACGAACCGGAAAGGTCAAAAAGTCGACGCTGCTTCCGCGCGCAACTCGTCCGGCGAACCGAGAATTCGGTCGGCCATGCGAACCGATTTGTTTTTATTAACCGGTAATGCGGCCTCGTTATCGCGTTTGTCGTGTATTCGGCCACAGTCGCGTCGTGAACCAGCACGCGCGTGCTGGCATTTCTCTGCGTTCGTTCGTTTCAGTTGACAACGCGATACATCGTCGTTTTTTATTTGAATTCCAGTTTCGGGATGTACCACGACACAGAAAAAATCGGCTGCAGCAAGCGGGACGGGGACACGCTGCACGTGATGACACCGACATTCGAAGTGGACACTATCGGAGTCGCTTGGTCGAGATGCTCCAGAAGAGATATAACGAATTTCTTGGAGTAAGACGTTCAACAACCACAACGTCTCGGTTATACTTGACTCTCTGTTACATGCTGCTAGACAGATTCGTAAATTTCATGTTTTTTCCAGGAAGCGTTAAGAATTGATAGACGAAACATTTTTTCTTTTATCCTAGTTTCTTTTGAGTGAACTGTAAAAATAGGGATCTGCGTGAGCGCAGTAAACAGAGTAAACTGTGGGGTATAGCTCGGCGAGAGGAAGCGTTCGATGGCTGACAATAGTTTCCGCGTGTGCAGTCAAGTTCTGTTTGGACAAATATAGTCAACTGTTGTGGCGCGACATGATCAAAATGGTTCCTATTGTTGCAGCCAAGGGAAAGGCGAGTGTTTGGAGGACGAGCCGGCAGACAACGATTACGCGTATCCGGATTTGCCACCCGGCGCGATGTACAATGCGGAGCATCAGTGTAGGCTACAGTTCGGCGTCAGGGAAGCTTCCGTCTGTTCTCCGTTGCAGGAGGTGACGAACAAAAGAAAATTGATTGCAAGACAATTCTGGGCGGATGAATAGAGCTTGGCAATCTTCTTTACAGATCTGTTCGAAGTTGTGGTGCATCGTGGATGGCACTTGCACCACTATGCTTCATCCGGCTGCCCCGGGAACCCATTGTGGGAAACACATGGTGTGAAGACAGTAGTAATTTTCAAATGATCTTGAGTTCAAACATTCCCGTCGGAGAGTAACTATCACTTATTGTTAGACACAAACCCGCCCCTAAATTGTTTCCTTTGCAAGCATTTCAATGAATTCTTTTCGAACAATAAGTTGTATTGATCAAGAACGGACTATACGATTAGAGATTACACCTATTCTATTGTAGATACAGAACACGAAATATTAAAAGTAACAGCTGCTTCATTTGTCATCGAAGATCAATAGAGAACAAGAGCATCAAGAATAAGCATATTTAAAACGAATCGATCCCAAATTGAACAAGAGCTTTAATACTGTTGCAGTGGTGTCAGAACCAAGAGTGCGTGCCGATCGTGGACAGGCCACGGCAGATCGATGGTGGATGGGGTGAATGGGGCTCTTGGAGCGAGTGCTCGAGATCCTGTGGCGCGGGTGTTTCGATCGTGGAGCGGAAATGCGATCATCCGGAGCCAGCGCACGGCGGTAAATTCTGCATCGGCGAAAGGCGTCGATACAAAATTTGCAACACGCAGCCCTGCCCGGAGGGCACGCCCAGCTTTAGAGCCGTTCAATGCAGCAATTACGACGGCAAGGAATACAAGGGGAAAAATTACACGTGGCTACCGTACTTTGATCAAAGTAAGCTGCTTTCACCGACCGGCTCGGAATACTCGTATTCGCAAAATGACTTTGTTTCACTTCGTGATTCTCTGAAAAGTAACTTTTCATTGAACGATCGTATTAATTAAAGCGGAACCTTGCGAATTGTATTGCACCGATACAGAGGAAAGCGTGATCGTCCCATGGGGTGAAGCCGCTCTGGATGGTACACCCTGCAACGTCGGCACCAGGGACATGTGCATCGCCGGAATCTGTAGAGTCAGTTCTCTGATAAACAATTATCTAGCGTTCAATCGATTCTTCGTTACAAAGCAATGATTTCGAACTGCAGAAGGTCGGCTGCGATTGGACGGTCGACTCCGAGGCCACGGAGGACCGTTGCGGGATTTGCCACGGGGATGGGACTCAGTGCGAAACTACGGGCGGCGTTTACGATAAAAACGACGGGCCGGGGTACAAAGAGGTCGTCGTTGTCCCTTCTGGATCGCGAAACATTAAAATCGAGGAAATTGGCAACAGTAAGAATTACATCGGCATAGGTGTGCCTAACTCGGACAAGTACTTCCTCAATGGGAAACGGTGAGCATGTCTGAAAACAGAAATCACGGAGGAATTCAATTTACATGTACGCGTCAATTTGAAATCCTTGTTCTAATCGGATAGGCAGATCACTTTAGCTGGGGAGTACGAGGTAGCTGGAACACCAGCTTTGTACGAGCGAGACCGCGACAGGGAGAAGATCAGAATTCCCGGTCCTATTAAAGAGGACATCGCAGTTTACGTACGTATTCATCGTCATCCCTAACTTTTTCACCGAAAAATCACAACCCCGGAGCCTGTCCGAACGGTTGATCGAAACTTGGGAAACGAATCGATAAACTGCAGTACAGACCGGTCTCGTTAAAGTTTCAATGAACCGTATCTGATCACGCTTTCCACGATTCTTTTAAATGTCATTTGCGCCGCGTTTCGTCCATCTCGTCACCTTTATTCGCCCATTTCACTGTTTGTCGATTACTTAGTTAATAGGCAATTCTCTCGCAATTCTCTAGCCACTTTCTTCTCATTCTCAATAACGTTATCCCATCACTTCAGTTAATTTCCAGAGGACACTACCGCAATTTCGGGCTGCGATACGAATACACCGTGCCAAAGAAGGAGCCTGACCGAGCGCCGGAATACTCTTGGGTATTTTCGGACTGGTCACTTTGCACTGTGACCTGCGGCGGCGGTACGCAAGTCTCGAAGGCTCTTTGCAACGAGAAGAAGAGCGGAGTCGTCGAAGATCACTTCTGCGAAGGCATCGAGATGCCGGAATCGATGCTGCGGGAGTGCAACTTAAATCCGTGTCCCGCCAGGTAAAACGCGTATTTGGTATTGTACGAATTATCGTTTCGTTTCTGGAAATATACGTTGCGCAATGAAATTAGATGGTGGATCGGCCCGTGGCAAATGTGCCCGGTAACATGCGGAGAGGGCGCGCTTCGGAAGCGTTCGGTGATGTGCGTTTCCTCGGGAATGGGTCCGGATCGTTCAGATCTGGCTTTGCCCGATCGTGATTGCAACAGAGACGTGAGACCCGAGGAAGTTAGCCCGTGTCCCAATTTACCTCCTTGCGGTTCGACCACGGAGGCGCCTCTAATCGTGTACGCGGACAATAAGGACGCTTCCTTCTACAACGTAAGCTCGAACGATCAAGACGGCATCACGATTGTCGACGGTCTGACCACTGAAGAGCCGGAGATCCTCGAATTCGACAACGTCGTGGACGAGAACCCGGACAATTCTATGTACAATACCAAATCGAAATGGATTGTCTCGAAATGGAGTCACTGCGCGAACAGAAAGAGGAGCAGGAAAGTGACCTGTTCCGTTCAGGGCGACTGTAACCCGGAGAACAAACCGGCCGCCATTGAATTTTGCCAGGGTGGAAGGTGGATTACAGGTAAGCTATTCATTTCTATCTCGTTCAGTGAAGATAATTATGAACTCTGTTAATAAACATGTTAAAAAGCAATTCATTGGTAAACTCTGTTCTAATGTATTTCCAGGGACTCTATTTTTCATAATAATTTGATTATTTATCCGTGATCGTAACGCGACCTTATAATTTAGCCGTATCGTTAACTTACCTTCCTCGTGGCCTGGCCTGGCCTTCTGCCAAAGGGATGCGGTGGTAAAGATCAGGCACGTAAAACATCGATCTTTATGAGCATGCTTACAGGAAGATGGGGATCTTGCAACTCGACTTGTCTGGCAAGGGTCGGAGTAAAGCGCAGGGAAATCGAATGTCGTGACCGTGTAACGGACTTACTGTCCGACGATTGCAACCCCGAAAGAAGACCAATCGATACGAGACGTTGCTATTATAGGCGGCAATGCGCAAACGATAAATCCGGTAATTGCATACGTTAACGAAAATTACCACTCCATATGTTCTTAATACTTAAGAAGCTTTTACTATACCGAGTAAGAACCGTATTTGTTTCAGAGTGCAAGGACACCATTGTCCCAGCTTCTGTGTGCACAACGTATAAACGCATGTGCGATGTATCATCGATCGTCCAAGAGAAATGTTGCGCAACATGCTTCAAAAAACGCAGACACGGCCGTCACAATAAAAGACACGTCCTCGACGATTGACTGATTGACAAATAGGTCACCTGGACCAGCGAACGCCGACTCAACGGATGCGAGAACGCTTTTCCGTGAAACACAATCCGTCCCAGTTTGTTTTTGACGTTTCCAGCGCATCGATAATAAGTTTGTTGCGCCAGAAGTGTTTGTCAAAAATGCTCTCAATACTTTAAGAACTTATCGCACCTTGCGAATGTAAATTCCATACATTCCTTTCGTACATATTTTGCCTAAAAGATGACTTCAAATTAAGGAACAATGTAGGAGACTCACAAATATATCTGGACATTCCAATGCAAGCACTATTACGAGATTATACAAGCTAAAATTAATATGGACATTTCGATTATGTTGGAGTAATTTTTGAATGTACTAAATAGATTGATTTAATGATGCAGATCAATAACACTATTTATAGTTTCGCAGATATAACGTTTCTAACAGTGCGAATACAAGATTAAAATACGTACAATGTGCAAATGTTTGTATATAGAAATTTAATGTGTTTTTTAATTGAAAAAATATATATAAAAGTGAACTTTTATATTTACTGTTGCAGACTTACTACTGTTTTAAAGATATTCTTAGAATACAAATGATCATTAGAATAAGAAGTTTAAGACAGAGAAATGTTTTAATTCTTGTGCCAAGTAACAAAACTTTATACATGAAAACAATTGTTTGCATTGAAAAGAATAGAGTAACAACAAAGCTTTGTTTATTAAAATGTAAATTTTTGCATTGTATTATGACAGTCTAATTGTATGTATTTTTATAATAACCAATATTATATTTACATGGTACTCTATTTTTGTACAATCGTAAATGTAAGACTGCAGTCATTTGTGTAATAAACTTATGCATTGTATAGAAATATGACAATTTTCCAATAATCATTTCCTCTAAAATAAAATACTTCTTCAAAAGATATTCGTCCAAAGCATAATTAATGTGGATGAAAATAATATGTAAAGAATTTGCAAACCAAAATTTATATTAATTCCATTTAATCTAATATCTTCAAAATTTAATAGTTACATTTTGAAGTTCTATTGGGGTCTTAACTTTATAAATATACAATTAATACAAATTCACTTTTTCGATGCAGCATATTTAGTTACGTTGCAACTAATATATATTGGTACCACCATAATTCCCACCCATAGAGCAATACCAAGGCCTATAAGTTCCTGCAAGAAAAATACTAGTGTTAGTAATTTTCACTAACAATTCATCAATCGATCAATCAAAAAAGATTCTAAAAACAAAACTTACAAATATTTAAGTATATACATGTTTTACATCAATTCATGTACATATGTATGTATATTTAGCCAAAAGAAGTGAAATTCTTAATAACACAAACCACAAACATAAGTATATCACCCACCTTGTTTCAATAACGAATCAATATTTTATATGACTAAAGTTTGAAATGCTAAGTACAAATAACATATGACTGTTAATGTTTACGCAAATATAGATTTTTAACAGCCCGAACTATGAAATTACTTTCTCTCATTGCGTATTTAGTTATAAATTTTAATTTACGTATTACATAATTGGAGATATTGATAAGAACACTTACTGCAGAAGATACTTTAGCTCTAGGCGGTGTGGAAAGGATGGTTCTGTGTTGATTGAAAAACGGCTTCGATAATTGTGGAGCTTTCCTGGCTAAATTCTGAACCGCAAACATGTTTCTTCTTTTTTCAGACTATCTCGCCACAGTTGCAAGTAACGAATCTATTCTTTTATAAGAACGTCAATGAATGAACACTGTGGACATAGAAGAGAAAGTCAGCAAAATTTTAGGAACGCATCTCAAGCGACACAAAATTATTCTTATGTTAATCAGATATATATTCAGCTAACATTATGAATTACATTTCTTAAAGTAAACTTAAACATGAAACTAATTAAACATTTATCTAAATATTTTAAATTTTCAATTTATTTAATACCTTTCTTTAAAACTCTGATGCGCATGTCCGCCCGTTGCACGAGAGTTGATAGTAATCTGAAATGCGCGTCACTGGTTAGTTTTCATCTTTTCTCATATCATTTTTGATACTAATTTATTAACTATCAGTATGGTTAGACATAACCAATCAGAATCATAAACAAAATCCCTAACGAGAGACCTCTTTTACCCTTGTGGTGTTACGGGGCACATCTCTTGAACAACCCCTATGTATCTTCCCTTTGATTTCTCAGTTCCGCGGTTTTCATAAATTCTATCGCTCTCTTATTGATTTAGGTAGAGGTCGCTAATGTATCGGGGCATTTTTAGCAGTGTCGGTATTTCAGAACAATAGACAGAAAAATACATTGTACGTATAATCTGTACGTATTTTGGGTCTATGCTATATAAGACAAAATGATGTATTCCAAAACGATCTAACATTTTTAAAGGTACATTAGGCAGGTGGGAATACAACGCTTCTGTCATGAAAACCAAGATCTCTTTTGTACTGATTCTTATTTACTCGCTATCGTAAGTTTTTGCAGAATAATGTGAAAAAGATATCTGCATATGTATTTATTTATTTATTTATTTATTTATTTATTTATTTATTTATTTATTTATTTATTTATTCATACATATACTTTGTATTGCACTTCTGTTTAAAAGAATATACATATATACATTCACGCATACACAAAACACAAATTGTCAAATTGGTACTCAACAATTAATTTATCAACAATAATAAGCTTCTAATCCCTGAGTCTTATCTCAGACAGATACTTTTGTTTATTAAATATTTAATTAAAAAATCGCTCACACCTAATCTATTAGAAATACTTGATACTATAAATAAATAAAAGCGTTATTCACGTAAAAAATAGCGATACACTGATTTTTGATAAGTCAATTTTTAAGTCATTTAGCATCCAGTTCAGCGAATGCTAACATTCACAGTTCATCCCTAAGGATGATTACATAATAAATAAACAAATAAATTATTCTACTTTCACTCAATAGATATCGTCCATGGATGATTCGGTATAACACCATATTGTATGTCTATTAAATGTTTTAGGAACTTTTTATAAACCGGCTCTGAGTGTTGTAACGTTGGTATATGTAAAGGTCGGCCACTGTATTCAATGTATGATATAGGGCTAATTATACCTGCTGTTCCTGTCCCAAATAATTCTAACAGCTACAATAATAATTAAATTATAAAAATTACATAAATTATAAATAAAAAAATTGTTCAATATATAATCAGAAAATGATCTTACTCTGTTTTCTGATAACAGTTGACAAATATCATTCATATTGAATTTTTGTTCCTTGACTTTGAATTGATTCCATTCCTTAGCTAAACTTAAAATAGATGCCCTTGTGATCCCAGGAAGAATTAAACCATCCAACAAAGGCGGTGTCAGTAATTCTTTTTCTAAGATTTTAAAATAACAATGTTTAAATATTTTTGTATAACTCAATCAATCAGATGAAACATGACAGAAAGTTTTGCTTACCGCCATCGTTGTTGATATAGAACATAAAAATATTCATTGTTCCAACTTCAGTTACTTCATTATTTTCTCCAAAAAGCCAAAGCACTTGTTGCAAGCCTCTTTCTGTAGCTTCTCTTTGTACATAAATGGTAGGTCCATAATTGCTACCTACTTTATAACTACCACAACCCCCTGGCCATGCTCTAGTGTACTGAGGATCTGCTAGTAAAGATATACCAACGTTTTCATCTGTTTTCTTAAAATAGGAGCCCACAGGAGACAAAATAATATATAGTAAAGCTGATTCTGAAGATGCCACTCCAAGTGTAGGCTACAAACACAAAGAAAAAGAATTATTTTACATTGTAAGAACTGTTATCTTATTATTACATTTCTATCCTTATTTTACACATATTTTTTATTATTATATTCCATTTCTTTATGAAAAACTGAAAAGAATGAAGTAAAATCAATTGGTATAAGTCTCACTTTTAACATATATTTTAGGTAATATGTATACTTTTGACAAACAGAAAAATAAAAAAAGTAAAAGAAACAAAATAATATATAATTCATTATTTTATACTAAATATATACTGTGGAATTGTAAAATAGATATGGATTATAAATGGAATCTAGCTTATGAGCAAAACAGTCCTTAGCTTTCATCATCAGTTCTTTGTTTGCTGCTTCATATGTGGTACAGTATTGTAATAGCATGTATCAATCATAATATAACTTTTGATCTAATTATATCTTACGGCCCTGCCCCAACAAAAGAGCATCATGCCTGTCTATCACATATTATCATTTGGTATTGGGAAATACATTGATTACTTTTCTGCTTCTCTCTTAATGGTGTCTGTGACATAAGTATCTTCCTATCGTATAAATGATTACAATTAACAAAATAATTGTAATATACTGTACAAAATATCTGTGTAACCTTCGTTCCAAATGAAAAAGTTTTAAGTCCAATAGAAAGTTACTACTTACATCTATACCTATAAGAGTAGGACGTATGTACAGACTAGAAGCAGTAGAATGAGGTACCCACTCTTGATCTATACTAAGTAATCTACAACAACATTTTATTAGTTCTTCCCCATTAAAAGTAGGCAGGCCAGTCCTCATTGCTGAATTGTTCATTCGTTCCATGTTCAAGTCTGGTCTAAACATTCTTATTTTTCCATCTACTCCTCTGTATGCTTTTAAACCCTCAAACAACTAAAAAAATGTATACATATTTTATGTTATCTGTGGAATTAAGCTATAGTGACTTTACATACAAATTGCACATACCTCTATTGCATAATGCAACACTTTTGATGCTGGATGAATGACTAAGTTTTCAAGAGGTGTGATTTCTGGCACCTGCCATCCTCCTAATGCCTCATGATAAAATATTTTTAACATATGATCTGTAAAGTATTTTCCAAAGACTAAAGCACTAACATCAGGCTTAGGCTGTAATTGTTCTGGTCCTGCAAGACGGACCGATAAATCTGCATACTATAAATATAAGAATTATAGGCTTAACCGTAGATACTGCGAAATACATTTAATAATTACATCCTTACAAATGTTATACCTTAAAGGAACGTTCCGGTTGTATTACTTTTTTGTCCCTAATTTTTACTGCCGAACTCCATTTAACGTTAGGCTGAAATTGATTTAATAAATTCCCGCAGGACAAAATCTGTGAAAATGGTTCTTATACTTTAATATTTCCTATATACGCAAATAAAGAATTTATTAAGAAACATCCATAAATATGATTAAATAGGCTTTATTATTAATTTAAAATTTATCCATAGCTACGATTTCAACAGTAGCATTAATTAATAGTCGAAAATGAATTTTTATCATAAGAAGCGGGAAGTTGTAGCGAAAGTGAAATTTAATTTAGTCCGTATCGAAATTACGAAAGTGTTATTCAAACGAGTATCTGTTTTAAGTGGAGCATCTCTTACAAATAAAATAAAAAAAGAAAGAAAACGATAAATTTGTTAGATATCGCGAATAATCCGCTACGCACCCGACAATTAACATGATAGGTGATTTATCATAAATCGTTAACTACGATAAGTTGCTTACGGAAGCAAAGATAACAATGGGTCAATGAAATTATGTAGTACGATTTCATGAATTTTTATTATTTGTTAGGGATGAATGATACGCATGCGAAAATCAGAAATCATGTATTTAAGATCTTTTTGCCCCATTTACTCGAATTTGTATTATCTACCAATTACAGACGAAACAAAGTTCAGGCACGTGGCACTTTAAGCACTTTATGTCGTTGTAGAATATTTATAAGACAATTGACGTACATAGGATTCTAATCACTGATAAAAAAAAGACATTGTAATCTTTTACGCGTATAGAATTTTCCAAATTTTAAACAGTAGTGTATAAATCGCGCGTTTAAATATACGTGCGTAAACAAGAATGTTGCATCACTACACAGAAGACTGAGATAAAATGTTCAAGTTTTACAAAAGATCATGCGAACACGAAACTTCACGTTAATTTTTCATCTTAAATTTAAATCCGCAAAATGATACGATATCAAGTTGACGATGTAAGGGGAATCCTAAAGTCTTTTGCAATCTGTACTCGGAAATTTTAACGTTAATTTAATATCACTAAATTGAATCGGCTAATAACGCTTGGAGAACTTGAGTTTTTCTTACATTGTTAACAAGGACTTACCTGACGACGTAAATGCACCATGTTAAATGAATATATATCGAAACCAAGGAAATATTTAAGAATCCAGAACAGTCGTTGACAAGTTCACAATGTTCATTAGGTAAAAATTTAAACGCGAGAATTAACACTTCGTAAAAAAGATATGAAACTTGGCCTCTCAGTATATAAATTATATACTATAAACTATAAAAATATTCCAATAGTTGTATTAAATAAAAAAAAAACTGCTGAAAAATGTTACAGTCTTCTATTACTATTCACAGGTGACACGAAAAATGTATTATTAGAGTTGTGAACATTGACTGCAATTACTCGAATTGAACTCAATGTATCTGTTCCCTTGCGCACTCTCGAATAGTGTCTTTGCATTAACCATCGGTTAATATTTTATTTATTAGATGGAAAGGGGCGTGAGGGAGAGACAGAGAGGAGTAAAGTACCCCCTCTCCTCGAGAATAGAAGAGTGGAGGAATTTATCAATTTAGCATATGCATTTAATTGTACGCAGTGTGCAGAATGCCTCTAGTTTCCAGTTTTAAGAAACTGGCTTAATCAAATTACACCGACGTCATTAAAAACGAATGCGATCCTGGTTTTTAACGAAATACGAAGTTTTATGAATGTACTACTACCGCATCATCCCTATTTCTTACAGCATACTTTTGTTTAACACACTGGCATTTAAAAAGAAGCTGTAACACGTTCATCGTCCATCGAAACACTCGTCACGACTGAATACTTCGAATTTTAGTGTTTACCGCCATGAATTTACCTTCGAAATGATTAATGTTCCTGTTAAAATATCAGAATATCAAAATGCCAAGCAAAATGTAGTTTTAAATGTAAAATTAAATGAAAAGCCCTAACTGCGAAGCTTTCTACCAGGGAAAATTGCATATGGAACGAGAAAAGCATTTTTCGAGACATCGTGTAGATGAGTGAAGAATCTTCTGTACGCTGTTTGATCGGGAAAGGGGAGGAAAAATTCTGGTGTGGGACATAATGAGCAGAGGGAGGTAAGGAGTTGAAAACATGTTGATAATGCGGTTCTTTGCGCGATAAGAAAGGACAGCACGCGCGTTGTTATTAAGAACATTGAACGTTTCTTGATTCTCGAAGTATCGTACAGAAGTATCGTATAAATATTTATCGCGTGCGTCAAACTAGAGGATGGTAGTGTTACGTTTTCGGAGCTAACACATCCTCGGTCCTGCAATAATATTTTCACACACGCATACTACGTTCAAGACCCTCACTAGATTCCTATGAATTTAGATAGTACATAACAACAGTGATCGGAGCGCAGATCGTTTACGTTTTAACTACAATAATTTTTCTTCTGTTTCAAGGAAAAAAGGGAAAAAGTGAAGTGACGAGAGGAACATTTGTATTCATGTTAGAATATTATCAAAAATATTTATTCATGCATTCTTAACGACCTGTTAAATGTAAGTATTTTGCAAAATTACGCTATAACTATATAAATATTTAGAAAATAAAAGTAAAAGCTCAAAGTGAGGTATAAAAACATCGTTGGTTAACACGTTGACGCTGGCGTGATCCACCGGTGGATCACACATGCCCTTTTTTAAAAGGGGTCTAAAAAGCGCCGGGGTCAACGTGTTAATTTTGCGTGTAATAAATATATCTTCGATATTTCTCAAGAAGACCACGTTACATCCATCGCACCAAACGTAAACTATAAAATAATTAAACGTGTAAGTATGTAATATGAATTTCATTATGTAACATAATTTCAATAGATTTGTGCAAACACAATTCCGATTAGAGTTATTATAATTAACAAATGCAGTTTCTTATCTATGGTTACGACACTATCGGAAAAGTACTGTCATTATAACTGTATTAACCAAAAGTATTCTTGAATCGCAAGAATATTTTTGCGATTTCAGTTTTTAAAAATAATGGATCGATAACTCGATGGTCCGATACGGATAGAGAAACAAACATTCGTACACAAACTGTTCGAATGTGAACTGCTCGCTGAGAATCACTTGCGAATTGCAATTATTTTTCCGATGCAGCGCTAAGTCAAATTCGATTTATGAAAACATCTTTGTCCATTAATGGTAACGGAACGTGGAAGTTAACGTATCGCATCGAACACATGACATTGCGAACAACCAACACATAATTCCTCTTATTAAACTTTCACATGTAAACAGAGAGCAAAGATAGATGCGAATGGCAAAACTAAAGTTTCGACAGATGTTTTGCGTTCCGTTTTTAAACAAAGATTAAGAGACAAGACTTCGAAACAACTAATTTTGATACTTGTTTTCGTCGATTCTGAACATTCTAGTCATTCATTTTCGTACGGTTTCCATCTGATTTATAGCATAATTATTATCGGCGTAAACTTTTCTTATAACATGTACACGAATAAATTAATTTATTTCATAATTTTCAACAATAAATTACAAATAACAACAAATCTGTAATGGATACAACAGTTTGGCACCGGAAATTTCGGTTATATCTTGCTTATAAAGCGCATTGATTTTTTCAATGATAGATTAAGTTACATTCAAGGTTTTACTGACTTTTAATATATCTTGGTATCATTCCTTTACGTTTTTGTTGTTTCGCCACGTGTACCATTGTTCTTTAACGAATTTCTCACAAAAAATGTTTCCTTATAAAAATGGCGCGTATAAATGGTACACATGCCATGGAACATGTTAATCGTTTCGAATTGAGCGATTAGTTTCGAGAATTTGTCGTGTGTTTTTTCAAATGAGTATTTTCCTATCTTTCGTTAAATCGAAGCGAAATCTTTCACCTGTGTCGAACATCGACGGCACGGGAAAAAGGCTAGAAGAAATCATATTAGCCCGGTTGCCGATGCACCATCATAGTCAGTGTAACTTCTGGAACAGACTGTTAGGAACAGTGATATCTCTACGTCACTATGAAATTTTTACCAAGTAAGATTTTTTATTTCAACAATCGATGTCTGTCGCATCATTCCGTGATAATAGAACGATGACGAAAATAGCTGCTTCTTTGCGCATACTCTCACCCTTTCGTTCGCTTGTTACTTAGTTATCGTACGATAATGGGAAACATATAGAACTATAGTACCGAATACATTATGCAAAAAAAAACGGCAAAATGGATAAGATTAATTTGACCAGAAAAGAATTAGAGGCGGGGGAAGAAACGTATGGACACTTACGTCAGCGGTGATACATGCACACGTGATTTCAAAAATCATAGGAATCACCCTATGTACAGCTGACACGCAAAACTGATAAGATATAGATATTTAGATAGGAGAAATGACATTCGATCGATGATGGTATTATGAAAACGATATTTACCGATCCAGCCGATTCCAGCCATCTAAACTGTCATTTTTATATCATGTCGCAGTGTACAACTTTATTTAATTAATTGATTGATTTTCAATAGTATACACCAATAATTCCTGTACGCCAATGAAAAAGGAACTTTTTAATCGGATTACACCCTGTATCATTTGAATAACAACGAAAGGGCCGAGATCACATTTTCAAATTTTACCGCCATCTATTCAGCACTGTGACGTAAGGTCGAGAGAAACACGCCTACCTTCGTGTTTGATGTATTGTCGCGACAGACGGACAAGCGAGTCATGTTATGATGAGAATCGCGATTTAAAAAGTGACTGTGTTTATCCCCTCTCATAGTCGTTTTTCTTGCAAAAAAAAATAGTTGTAACGAATCAATCAACGTACATACGGTAGGGCGCAGGATTGCGCGGTAAAATGAGCCTCAACATATCGAAGTTGTTTTCAAGGAAAAGGCCTGGCCCGATTGACACGGTCGCCACTGAAATCGGTTTACCCACGAACGTCTCCCATCAGTTTCACGTGAGCAGAAATGAGCAAACAGGACAATTGGAGGGTCTTCCCGAATCTTGGATTCGGTTGCTCAACACCCAAATATCGAAATCGGAGCAGGACGAACATCCTGCCGCCGCTTTACAGGCCATCAAGTTCTACAATTATTCAATTAAACGGAAACCAGAGGAAGAGGTGTTTAAGCCTTTCGTGACACAAGATCTTATCGAGGAGGAGTCTCAAGAAATCGACAAGATCTTAGCAAAAAAATGCAAACGCAGGGATTCGGATGGTTCTGTTTCCACGGGTTCTACGGACAGCGACGAACAAAAGTTACCGAAACTTCCACCCAAGATGAACATAACTTCAGCACCCACACCACGAATATGCCTTGATAGAATTGAAAAAACTTTGACAGAGATTTTAGAAGATTTGAATACATACCAAATTGAAGATGACCAACAACTGGAGAATGAGAACACACCGAACAAGACAGAGGAGAGTCCTATTTTAAGAAGAAAAACAGATTCTACGGGGGTGAAGCTTAGCGACGAAGAGGTCTTCAAGGAACTCAGAACTATCTGTCAAAGTGGAAATCCCAATCTACGTTTCATAAGAACTAAAGAGGTTGGTGCTGGTGCTTCAGGTACTGTATTCATAGCTACAGATTCAGAGACGAAACAGAAAGTGGCTATAAAAGATATAGATTTATCAAAGCAACCAAAGAAAGAACTCATATTAACTGAAATTAAAGTTCTGAAAGAATTTCAGCATCCCAATCTGGTCAACTTTTTAGATGCATACCTTGTAAATGAACATCTTTTGGTAGTTATGGAATTATTAGAAGGCGGACCACTGACAGACGTTGTTATGGAAACAATAATGAAAGAAGCACAAATTGCTGCAGTTTGTAGAGAGGTTTTGAAAGCAATTAGTTTTCTACATAAAAGGGGAATTATTCACAGAGACATTAAATCTGACAATGTGCTCCTTGGAATGAATGGTACTGTGAAAGTTACAGACTTTGGTTTTTGTGCTAATATAGATGGTGATGAGAAACGACAAACTATGGTTGGTACTCCTTATTGGATGGCACCAGAAGTAGTAACAAGAAAACAGTATGGTAAAAAGGTGGATATTTGGTCTTTGGGTATTATGGCTATTGAAATGATAGAGGGTGAACCACCTTACATGAAAGAAACACCTCTAAGAGCTTTGTATTTAATAGCTGCTATTGGTAAACCTTCTATTCCCAGATGGGATACTTTAAGTCCTACATTTCAAAACTTTTTAGAAAGATGTCTAGCTGTTGAAGTCGATGAGAGAGCAACAGCCGATGAATTGCTATCTCATCCATTTTTAGAGAATTGTGCAGAATTAACAACCCTTACACCACTGATTCGAGCGGCGCAACAAATACTTCATAAAGCATATTACTGAACATTTTTTTAAAAATACAGGTAAAATACTTGTATTGATTTTCTTATGAATTTGTCTTGTCGCATTATTATACAGCAATGCACTGATATAATTTATACAATGAAAAGTATTTCTTATATTATACAAGGAATATGTGCAGTGCAAATTCTTATACATATTTTATGATATGCGACTAACTATTATGTTTGTATGAATGTATTACCAAATTAATAGTATGATTAGTATAAGTTCTAGTAACAAACAGATTACTGCAAAGTGTCTTTTGTCATTCATTTTTCTGCATTTTAAATCTATTTTAATGTCACAATAGATTCAGTCTATTGCTTGAGTCAGTGAAAGTTATATAAGTTAGTAATGATTTGATGTGCAATATTTATTATGTAAGTTTCATGATTTGCTTTTATATATGATCCCTTCTTTTATGAATTATTCTATCAATTTGCAAGTAAGGAGGAAAATGTAAAAACAATGAGTTGTCATTATTATTCTCTTAGAAAGATACATGTGGGATTTTCTAGGTAGTTAAGATTGTATTTTCAGTTATATTTTGCATTTATTATGTAACACAATTATTATAAATACTGTACTTAGTTTATTCAAAAACTGAAAATGCAAAGTATGCACGCATAGCATTTATCAGGAACCTTTCACAAGTAATTTCATACTCAACAATTTTTGGTATACTAAGAAAACTAAAAATTCCATTTTGCTGTAGTACAAATTAATCTAATAATGTTATCCAGTTCAAATTTCAACAATATACAATGTATTACATATTTTGTATTAAGTATTTACATTTTCTTTGACTGTATTCTTTTGTTACTTTGGATTCTATACATCTAAGAATCAACCAATTAAGCCATACACTACAAATCAAACAATTTATATTTAAATTGGGTATTTTTGTATGTATAATATGTTTGATTAATATGTTACCATTGAATTAAAGCAAAAAAATGCTTTTTATAGAAACTTTTACAATCCTTTATAAAAAGGAATTCTTTTTTTATTAATAGTGAGAAATTGAACCTTACGGTTCAATATTATAACCATATGTATTAATGACTAAGTATTGTAAATGGTTTAAAATACCGCACATTACAGAATGCATTTTTGAAAGGTTTTAAAAGACGCGTTTAGTTTTATAAGGTTTTATTGAGTATTGCAATATACACTTTTCAAAAACTTTTGTACTCGTATTTTAGAACTTAATACTGCTCAAACCAAATACCAAATTGTAAGAAATATTATACATTAAATTATATACATAACTTTATATTTACAATGCCTTTTATAAAGAAAAATAGCCGAATTTTTGCTATAGACTATTTAATTCTTTAAGGCCTGAGCAGTAATATGAAGTAAAATCACAACTGTGATAAGGGAAATCAAGTCCTATTATATTATATTACTGTATTTGATCAAGTGTGTGATTTTCACATTGTAAACTACTGCTTCCTTAACAGTAGTGTGTGTAATTTGAATATAATTTGACATTAAGTAATTAATGTGTTTTAAAAAATTCATAATTCACGAAGGAAGATAATTATGTGATTCACGCATTGATCAGTTAGCAACTTTAATGTATAATGATTTATATATAGACAGTCACAACATTTGTGCCTTATCAGATCAATACTTATGATTCTATGGTAACTGCCTTACTAATATTACTATCAGTAATAACAGGACATGATAATGAGGAATGTAATAATGATTTAATAGAAAATTATTAGAAAAAGAAGTTTATCTTTTTAAAATTTTACATAAAATGTATAGAAAATGTACTGAAAGAACATCACACATCAATTTAAACAATAAATACTTTATTTACAAGATAAATTAATAATCTTGTACATTTCACTATTCCCAAAAATTTGTTAAGCCACACTGAAGTTTCTAATCATACAAAGTGATACTAATAAATAGAATTAACTATATATTTATTTATATATTTACATTATATTCGTTCTATATTTAATTATGGTAAAAATAAGACTAGATTATTCTGTTTTGAAACTGTTTTGATACCATGAAAATTGTGTAGTATAATGATATGTCGTATGATAGAAATTACTACAGTGTGGCAACTATTTTATTGAAATAAATATACTAAATAGCTCATTTAATTAAATTTAAGTTCTCTAGATACACAAAAGTAAAACATACGCATTTTCATTTTCATTAATATTATTTGATAGTTGAACACTTTATAATTTTCTTTAATTTATAATTGCTATGCATTTGTTTACTATTCTGATATAAATACCTTTAATATGTATTCAACGTACATAAATATGTCCAAATAAATAAACTTTCAACAAGTGCCACAGAAATGTAAAGGGCATTAAGCAATATAGAAGAAATGACAACACTTTAGAATATTTTAGTACTATATATACATATATTACATTGCGTGGCTAATATATTTTACATATTTTTATTAATTTAAACTTAATGACCTTCTGCATTTCTCCTAAAAATGTATACACATATTAAAAGTAAAAATATTACCATTCAATTATTTACTATCTTGTATTTCTTTATGGCAGTTGTAAACAGGAAAATGTATTGCTTACTTCAGTAAGAACTACATATTGTAAAATATTTTCCATAATTATTCTAATTTTATAAATTAAAGTTTGCATATGTCAACACTTGAAGCTACAAATAGTTTCAGCTATTTATTCGAAAAAATGGCTTTTCATATTAAATTCGAGAATTATTTAATTAAATTTTACATCAATACTAAAATAATTAAATTCTTCAGATCTATATTAAATAAAATTAATATTTAAGAATATTATGATTTCTATAATAAAGCCATTTTTTCAAGAAACATTTCAGAATTAAGATTTAATTAAAGGTCAATTCTGCCCATACCTAAGCGCACGTAATCTTCCGGCAACAAGGAAAGAAGGATCATCTAACATAGCCTTTAAAACAGCTAAAAAGTCTGCAGCTTGGTCTTCGTCAATCGCTCTTCTGTCGTAAGACAATGTTGCCGACATTTTTGTTGTTTTTTGTAGCGTAGCATCTATAAAACAATATATTAGAATTTCCTCTACTTTATCGATAATTATAAATATTTACCCATTTCCTCTCGGCCGCCACCAACTGCAAGTATTGCTGTTTGTGGAGGATTTATGATAGCACTAAACTGTTTGATACCGAACATTCCTAAATTGGAAATTCTAAAACACAATATCAAAAGTAATATGTGAGAGTCATTTTATAATGCATAATTCGCGTGTAATATATATTTATCAGCTTACGTAAATGTCCCTCCTTGAAATTCTTCTGGCTTTAATCGACCAGTTCTAGCTTTTTCAGCTAATTCTCTAATATTATTTGCAATATCTAACAAACTCTTGGCCGTGGCATCAAAAACAATTGGAGTAATAAGACCTGTATCTGTAGCAACTGCTACAGATACATCGACTCGCGGCATACGTATAATCTATTAATAAAATGTCATAGTTAATAGTGTTTACATATATATGCTCTCTTGCTTTTAAAGCAATTTTTGCACTTACCTGACCATTTTGATACAATGTATTTACTGATGGGCATTCGACTAATGCATGTGCGACTGCTTTCGTAACAAAGTCATTTACCGAAACTTTAATATTGTCAGCTTTCAATTCGCTACGAATTTCATTCAGTTTATCTAGTTTAATATCGACGTAAGCATAAGAATGCGGAATAGTACTCTAAAAAAAATGTTACATGAATTGAAACAATAGGTAATTATCACATGTGTCCTTGTACAAATTTTTATGACATTTGATCATACAAAAAAAATATTTAAATTTACCTTCGATTCTCCGAGTCTCTTAGCAATAACCGCACGTATATTTGAAACTGGTATATCTTCATAGGTAGAAGGTTGACCAACAGGCACATGAATTTTCGAAGAACTGGCACGATCCTTTTTATCTCCTTCGGATTTTGGAGGAGAAGCTGTATCAGCGAATAGAAATATCCATATTAATATATAGTATAATATTTTGAAATTAATAAAAACAATTCTTAATACATACCGGCTGCTGGAGCAACTTTTTGTACATTATTTGCTGCAATATAGGCTAATACATCGCTTTTTAATAATCTATTGGGTCGTCCAGTTCCTTTGATGGAACCAGAACTTAAGCCATATTCTTCTAACAATCGTTTTACTGCTAAACCATAAACTCTGTAAGAAAGAAATTATAAGAAATGAATATATTACGTAATATATAAATAATTGCTTTAAAATCAGGAAGAAGAATAAATTTACGTACTGTCCACTTGGTGCAGGTTTTGCATCTCCTCCTGGTGCGGCCGGCGTGTCCGCTGCAACTGGAGCAGCTGCAGCAGCTGGTTTTGTAGTTGCTGGAATAACAACATTCTTCCAATCCATTCCCTTTTCAACTGTAATAGCAATCAATTGTCCCACTTCAACTTGACTACCTTCAGGAGCCTGGCAAATAAAATTTTAAGTATATATTAAATTTATACTATTCATCTCTCTCTCTCTCTCATAATGTAATATTCATTGACAATAATGTACAAGAATCTTTGCAAAGACAGCTTCATCTTCAAATTCAAATGTCATAACAGCTTTATCTGTTTGTATCTCTGCTACTGCATCCCCTGGTTCTATTTCTTCTCCTTCTTTTTTAAGCCATTTTACTATTGTACCTGAAGTCATTGTAGGTGACAAAGCAGGCATACTGACATTATTTCTGAAAAATTCATAATTCTTTGTTTTAATTTCAACACATTAATAGTCCTTCAAATATATAGCTTTGTTACCATGAGAACTTACTGGCCAGGAGGTGGTTCAGCTACAGTGCTTGCAGCAGGAGCAGCAGCTGGTGCAGAAGGTGTTGGTGGAGTACTTGCAGATGCACTCGAAGCAGTGTCTGGCATTTCTACAGATTTCCAATCTTCATCTGCTTCAACAGTAAGGGCAATCAGTGTTCCTACTTTAATATCCTTTGTTCCTTCTGGTATCTAGTAAATCAATATAATGTGTTTATTTACACTATACAAAATAAGATCTAGTCAAAAAGTTAAAAAACTTATTGACTAAAATGTACATAAGATAAGAATAATTTTTTGAAAGTAAATACCAAGACAATTTCATTATGCATCTTTAAAAACATTTTTAAATCTTACAATTATTTTTGCAAGAATACTCTCATCATCAACTTCCATTGTCATAACAGCTTTATCGGTTTGAATATCAGCAAGTGCATCGCCAGCCTCAATTTTCTCACCTTCCTTCTTTAACCATTTGACAATAGTACCACTTTCCATGGTAGGCGACAAGGAAGGCATTAAGACCTCTTTCCCTTTTACTAAAGCAAAGCAAAATTTTAAATATATTTGAACCACACATGCATTTATTATTTGATTGCATAATCACTCTGTATATCAACAGTATAAATAAGTAATTACGAATTGTTACTAGTAAAAATAGAAAAAAAACCCATTGATCTGTATTATTGACATTATAATTTATATTGAAATTAATGTTATACTGAAAAAAAATTGTTCTAACGAAATGATTGCATGTTAACCTAAACACGGTCAAGAATAATTGTGTTAATAAATTACTTTTGAATAAAGTGTATACCATCGAGAATCCAACTTGTATGGAAACATGATCGTTGATATTTTACAGGCACAGGTATTCGCACTATTACACGATTACTATTTCGAATTGCTGAGAGAGCAATTTTAGATATTATCATTTGCGCCATGTTTGGTATGGAGCAATTGGAAATAATTGAGCCTAACGTTATCTCGTTGTATACTAAGATATTAGATTATTAACTAGATAAATCACAGTCTTCACTATAATAATTTGTTTAAATGTATACTGTATTTTTGATCAAACTTTTAATCTCACTTTTCATCTATATATTGATTCTTTTAAGTTAAGAATGTTACATAATACGTAATAATGCAATTGAACATTGTAATGTTATAGGTTTTCTGATAAAAATAGAATAGGAAATATATGAAATTAATTTTTATATTAGTATTGTAAAACGTTTATTATTATAGATTTTAGTAAAAAAAGATCACATTACATTTGTTTACTAAATATTGGGCAGTATAGTTAGTTAGCAGCTATCTAGTTTCTATAATTGAAATATATAAAAAAGTTGTTTTGTATTGTAATACAATAAAGGCACTTAAGGTCTAACATTTAAAGATATAAATAAAGAATATATAACATGACTATCACTTTTGTTTATTATTTACAACATGAATACAAGGTTTCAAATTCTTTTCTTATGAATATCAACTAACGAAAAAAAAGGTGACAAAGGAATATAATTTTCATTTTTATATTATTCAATGTATTTTCTAGATATGAAGAAACTTATTTTCTTCTTTTTCAAGTCTTTAATTTCATAGCTACTGCATTAAATTGTCAGAATTAATGTCAGAATTATTGGCATCTTTAATCAAGTACATTCCTTGTCTTATTTATGCTACAAAGCAACTGTATATTCATGCTCGTATCATTAAAAATTTAAACACAACACAACAAGCACAACGTTTCATCGTAGAATTTGTAGCACTAAAATTTAATGATAATGTGGACAAATTGCGGCTATACGCATAAAATTGGTAATACTCAGGAAAACAGGTTAATGTACAAGCACTTTGTATTTTCTCTTGCTGTCATTGCTTTAAGCAAAGAATACAGAAGAGATGTGCTAAAGAGAGCATTAAAGAGAACGCTAAAGTGAATGCGAATCGTTCATAAAGAATGTAAAGACATATTGCATACAATGTACTTATGTACATAAAATATTTTTGAAGAGTCATTAATATTACAAAGCACTGTATTAATTATAACAATGGGAACAGTTTATACAATGGCTTGATATTCTTGACTCTTTTTTCTACAAGTTTTAAAACTTCCTGAAGATATACCTGTTAAATGTAATAAAAACATTCCCCAAAAATAATTTTCAAAACTCTGTGTCCATAAACATAATTTCCTTCTTATCATTAGTGGATTTTTCACATATACTCTATATGATAATTATTTGTTTCCGATTCCCTTGACATGTTTATAAAGGTTTTAATATTTAATATTTCCATAATAGTACAATACCAATAATTCTAATAATTATTTAACCTTAGTATTGATGTATATTTTTTAAGATATAATTTTTTTTTTAATATTTGTACGCTGTGATATGTTTCAGCTCTGAAGATTTTGCATCAATGGAAATTAAATACTGTAGGACGGAACTCAAAAGTATATATGCAATATATGACAATTGATTACCAATACAAGTATTACAACGTCCCGAAATATTTTAAACCGATTTGCGTTTTTATTTATTTTATCTGATTGAATGCATAATTTTAAAATTTGAATAAATGATTCAAATATAGCAACATACATTAAATTGGAAATATAATTACTTATCATGTACACCGTTTACCGTTACTCAGATGTTACTCATATTATTCTTTACTAACGTAAATTCTTTATTGATAGTGTTCTTCTGATGATATAAAAAACTTACTGAGTCTATACTTGCATAAAACTTTCATATTTAAATACAGATGCATTTTGCACCTTTGATGTTCCTAATTCACAATCAATTATATGTTCTATTATTCAATGAAAAGATACTGTAGGTATGTACCATGGTTTATGTCTACAGTCTTAAATAGTTTATATACATCTTTATACTTATTTTCGGAACTGTCAATTGTCAGCGTACAAAATGTAGTTTCCTGTTATTTTAATATATGAATGGAATTATTAAAAATTTACATTCTTAACGTTACAGTTAACATCAACCTTTCTGTGATATGAAAACAATTTTGTAATTATTCTTTGGTAACTACAATTTAAATCTTAAAAAAATCTAAGCACATAAAGTTGTCCTAATTTCGGCACATTAAAATTATTATAAATTTTCAGGATGTATCAATGGATATAAAAATTATTATTTAAAAATATATGTATTGCAGATCAGCAAGACAATTACGCTCAAGGGTATTCCAAATGTACAGATATGCTGCATGGAATTAATAATATACCATAAGGCTCTGTGTATTTGATTCTACATAGGCCGTTTATATAAAAAAATATTGCATTGGATTTCTTAAAAAAGATAATAGCTCTTCCAGTATCTACAAAATTGCATATAAATTTATGTGATTTTATCTTTTAACCTTAAACTTTTGTTCCTGTATATAAAAATTTACTTTGAAACACTGTTTCTGTATGTTACTATTTTCTTAAAAAATATTATTTATTTCTGCAACCTATCTGTAATTGTTAATAATGTAAGGCATATGCCCTTGAGATATTTTGTTTACTACTTATTAAAATCTATAAATCTAACTTCGAGTTTCTAAAATTTTATAAATATTCATTGGTTTCATATCCATTTTATAGATTTATTTTCATTCTCTATATGAAATGCAAGTTATTTCTTATACTATCTGTATTTAAGAATTCGTCAATTTTAAAGTTTTTAATGTAAGTTGTCTGCACTTTCTAATTATTTCCTAATGACAAAAAATTTGTACAAAATTTGGCTTTCAAAACCCTACCTACATATAATTATACACAGTATGCTAGTGGTATATCATTAATGCTTTCAATGGAATGCACATATCACGCACAGATGCTCTTGTTGAAATACAATATAATTTCGTATGTAATAGTATTCTTATAAAAAAAATATTTTTATTTATCTACATATGTAATAAGGATCATCTTATACTGTAAGTGTACCAATTCATTGTCACGACGAATCAGAATAATTAAGATTAAAATCAGTATTTGACAGTCTACGTTTGGTTTAAAAACAATACTTTTTTATATTTTTCTGAGAAAAATAATTTAAAATAAAATTTTTTGTAACAAATCTTTCATGATAAAATTATGATAGATTCCTAAAAACATGACAAATTTTCACCATTTATAACATTCAATTTCTTTTGAAAGTTTTTCTTAGATTCGTTGTTTTCCCGAAACAGAAATGTTTGAGACTGTTTCAATTATAGCTTTCATCATATTGAAGAAAGTATAATAATACTGAACTTTTGTCACATTTAAAAGAGTTCTCCTCCTTTGAAGATATACCATCTTTAATACAAATTAAATCATCAAATCTTCTTATTTAGAAACGCGTATCTCCTGTGATTATCAGTACTCCTTGAATTTTTACATGTATCCTCTTTTTACATCACCTTGGGTATTCTTTATGGTTGGTCTGATTGTCCTAGGGCCTGGTATACGCGATGGTGGTCTAGGAATAGCGCTAAGCATATTTGAAGTTCTATTTCCAGTATTCCAATTCGTGGGTTGCCGCAGTCTAGTTTTGTTTTCGAATTTCATTGTTGGTTTACTAAACGCCTACAATTCAATATATTTAATTCAAAGTGCAAAGACGAATAATAAAAAATTAAGTTTCCTTAATAAAAATTGTACATATTACGTTTGATAACAAACTTACTTCAGCTTTTTTCACTATATCTGTTTCATTTTCCTGTTTCAGCTTACGTTCCGTAGAATGATCTTAAAAATGAATTATGAGTACATACAAAAATATAGAATACGAAAAATATCTGTTGTAAATATGAAATATTGATTTACCATCGGTATTTACGGACTGACTAGATCTAGTAGGACTTATTAGCGGAGAGCTTGTTTTAACATTGAAGTCCATACTTGTTAACGAAGAAGAATCACTTTCACAACCATCAGTACCATTTTTTAGAATAGGAGAAGGTAAGTTCTTTTTCATGTCTGTCCAAGTGCTTTCCATAACATGTTTATTTAAAACAGGAGCTGCATCCTGTTTTAAACCTAAGGAAAATTAAAATAATTAAAGATAAAAGTCTCAATTCTCACTTCAGTATTAAGAAAAATCATTACTTACTTTCTTCTTGCATTCGTACTATTTGATGCAATTGTTCAATATTCATCGGCTGCACAGTGTATGAATTATGGCTACTATCTGAACATGTGCTAAGTCTGTCATCTAAGTCAGGTGCACTGTGAGCACTTTGTGTACTTTCAATGCTTTCTGTAGATCCTCCAGCACCCATCATTTGGAGTTCCCCTACGCCTGTATTAAGTTCTAAAAGTCGCTGCTCAGAACCACTTTTCATTTTACCTAAACTGTACAATTTATTTGTTACACCTTTTTCAACATCTCTAACAATATTCAATTGTGAGCCTTTCATATACCCAATAGTAGATGCATTTGTACATCCTGCCATGTTAACAGTTTTCAAAGAATTAGATACAAGATTTGGATTAGATTTTTGAAGGAACTGTGGTAATTTTGAAAGCATTCGCGGAATGTGCTGCTGTCTTTTTTGCAGTTTCGGAAGTGGTTTCACAAATGTAGCGTCCACGTTCCCCAAAGGTTCCGCATTTTCCATATCAGTCTTTCCCACATGAATGTTACTTTTTTTTGTAAAAGTGTAATACTTTTTATCCTGCAGATTCTGAACACATGCTTCTGCATCATTTACTATCTCAGTCTCGACTTTAATTTTATTAACTGTTTGATCCTTTTTATATGTACTGTATTTATTTTCTATAGATATATTGTTTCTGGTATTTTGATTCGGGATCTCATCGAATGATCTTTTCTCAGTCTTTCTAGTGTGAAGTTCATTAGCCACACAATTATATGTACCATCGAGTTTATGATCTGTATTTCTATGTATTTCTGCTAACAATTCTTTTCTCAGTGATGTGGATGCTTTAAAATTTGAAGATACAGCTGCATTGTATATTGATGATTTCTCTGAATGTTTACTATTTGTTTGAAATGTCGAATTTAATGGATTTTTAGGGGTTGATTGATAACCAGGAAGAATAGATAATTTAAATGTAGAATCCAAAGCGTTATTTTGCACCAATGAAAAAGTTGAATTTGCAACAGGTGAAATAGGTTCGACTACATTTTCAAGAATAATGGTAGACGTATTTTTGTGGGGATCACATGCCTGAACTTTTTCATCTTGTGCATCATTTTTAGTAGATAAATTTACGTTCGTAATTACATCCTTAACTTCTGTAGTAGAATATGTGGAATTCAGAGCACTTGATTCTTTCTTCTTGTCATCCTCTAATTGCAATAACTTTATATTTCCATCATCTTTATTTACAAATGTGGAAGACAAATTAATTGTACTCTGTCTATCTTTATCTGTTCTTGTCAATATAACTGTTGAAGAAGCAGGTTCTGCATCATAAGTTTCATTTAGTTCGATGTTATCAGATTTATTGGTAAATGTTCTGTTTGCTTGAGTCAGGCAGTGAGTTTTATTATTGTCTGGTTCATTGTCTATTCCATCGACCATTGAAAATGTTTCATTCACATGTGGATTTTTAATATCCTTGTGTATGATAGCTTGTTGATTCAAAGAATGAGTTAAATTTGCAGGTTCATCTTCTTTATCACAATCTGCGTTATGCAAAGAATCATCTCTAGGCAATGAAGTGATAGATGAATAAAATATTGAAGGTTGAGACACATTCATAATTGGATCACTGAGTCCAGGTTCAACTAAATTAATGAATGAATCAATTCCCTTTGAATGAGACATGTTCAAAAAAATTTCCATACTTTCTTGACCTGATGTTATTGATGCTTCATCAGAAAGAAAACTGATATTTGTATTAGGTGCCATTTTTAACATTGGATGTACAGTTTCCTCTTTATTGGCAGCAGGTTTAGTTAAATGTTTACTTAACTATATCAAAAAATCATGTGGTTAAAATTTTTATGTAATGAGTGCAAAGATATGTATAATATATATACATACAAATAAACTTACATCCTCTCCTATATGTGAAAAGTTTGAATATGTAGTTTTCCATACACTTGATACAGGTGGAGATAAATTTTCCAAAATAGATTCAAAGTTGTTTCTACTTGTTCGTTTTTTAGGTCTTGTAAATGTTCTTGTATCGATGAATCTTCTATTTCCTATAGAAAGATTATATTTAAAACTTAAACATGAAATTATGTGAAACCAATTTTAATACGTTATAACAACACATTCGTAGTATTTTCAGTACCTGGTAAAATTAGCTCTGATTCATTTTTCAACCAAGTGTACAAATTTTGGACTGAAGCCTCAGATTGATACTGCAATGGTATATACAACCTACATAAAGAAATAAAAACTGATGTAAGTTTATACCTGAATTTTTCTAAGGATTTGTACTTCTGTTGTTTGTACAAAAATTAATTATTATGAAAGTAAAACAAAAAACGTTTTACAGTTGAAAAACTGTTTCTGTGTATTATATTGTTTAAAATATATTGTTACATTAGAATAAGTAACATTGGGTAAGATATTCTTAAATTCAATTTAAGGCTGGCTTCTTGGCTAAAGACTTGGCTAATCTTTAAAAAGAGATTAAATTCAATTGAAGCTATAAGTGACATTTGCAGAGTGAAATTATTTGTAATCGAAAAGCTTCAAATTAATCGAAGACTAATCAAATTACTTACCAGGTATCAGTATCATTAAAATCTGAAACAGACACGTCAATGATTTCAACTTCATCGATGAGGCTCACATCGTTTGTGTATTCCTTTCGCACGATTTCTGTATCCACTTTTCTCTCTGACATTTTTTAATTGTATTACGATGTTAAACGTACGGATGAACACATATTTTACCGTTAAAGTGTCTTTTTCCGTCTCGATTGGTTGATGTTGTGTGTATATAAAAATAGTGTCGCGTTTTGCCGAGTCATTTACAAAATTCCAACGGATTCCGTGTACAAAGCACTGTTTGCGGTTCAAAAGCATACGTATTAAAATTAGCCAAACGTAGGGTGAACATAACAACGGATACAATAGCAGGAACTTCCTCAGATATTTTCACGTTGTTTTCTAAAGAACCAAAGCAGGCCACGGTACAAAGAAATACTGATAGAAGGTTTCTTTCGTTACGTTTTGTTTAACTATTTTTTGGACTTTCCATTTGCAGAAACCACTTCCTTTTCCGCGGTTTAGTGTGGCTTCATTGTTTGATTTTTTGTATCTATATTGGGTACGTATTTAGCCAATGATACGTTTACAAATCTAGGAACATTGTGAATTAACATTTCGAATTCTTTGAAATTCACCTTTAAAATATATGAATTTAATTTATAATTTATTACGATTTGTTCGATAATGAAGAAATATTCTGTTTGTATTCTATACAATTTAGTTGACAAAATTAATCTTCTAAGCCAATAATAATTCGTATATATACATATATGTATATATAAGTATATATAAATTATTTAGAAAAAATATGTACTTTTTCCATAATAGCATAAAATTATTTTTAAAAATATCTGGTTTCAAATTTACTTATTTATATAAACAATTATATATGATACGAAAAATATATTCTTAAAGTACTACAACTGAGTACTTTTAATGTTACACTATTATAGTATAACGAATATAAGACATAATATTATAAGAAAATATAGTTCACTAATAGCTTATAATTTTACTTTTAATAAAGTTTTCTACAAATTATACTATTGTCAATATGAGGTAATGCATTAATATCTTCTTTACATGTACTCTGTAAAAAATGTACATAACCTAAAAAATTGTGTGTTACTGTAGCATTCATTTCATAAATACTTGGGCTATTACAACAATGTAGAAAAAGAAATGATATTTTGCATAAAGAAACAAGTAAGTTTCATTGATTATTTACTGAAAACAGTAGTAAATACGTATATCAAATTATACATGTTATTAGGTAAGGATTAAAATGCAAATTAATTTGTACATTTAAACATAATTCTCATATTAATTAATGTTTTATTTTA